CTGAGTCAACCCTGAGCCGGTGAGATTTGAACCGCTGACCTGCTGATCTAGCAGTAGCCTGCAGTGCTGCATTTAACCACTGCGCCACCTTGATAGGATATTTGAAAGGCAGGTAAAGCAACCTAGAATCCCCACGAATCTCAGAGTGGTTTTTAGTTTTGCTTGTCTTCATTAGAAGACAAACTACTAAATTACATTATTTTGCTGCTGATCGTGGCTGCAAAGCATAATGACCTTTGATAGTCTTGAGGCACTAATTAAATCAAAAGCCAGCTCAAATTCCCCGCTTTCATAGTGAAAGGAAAAGGGGCAGAAAGTTACACCCCTCTTCTATTACCATATCCCTTGTGTGTGGGGGGGGGGGAGGGATTAAAAGGCAGAACTCTTGAACGGGCCAAGAAAGAAATTATTTAGGTAAGCTGGTAGCTCCTATCTGCTTCCCACTTTAGCTCTTTTGGAAATGTTACCTAAAAGGTAAGAATGTTAATGCCAATCTCCAGCTTCCTTTTAAATCAAATACTGGTCTGAGGATTTTTAAACACTTCGTATGTGTCCTGAAAATCAGGGGTTGCTGAATTTGGGGTGGCACTTGTGGCCTGTTTAGGGGGCAGTTTTTAGGGTGAAATTGAGAGCAGCTTGCTTCAAAGAGGCCTCCCATCCCCTTTCATTTCCTCAAAATATTGATTGTGGACATTAATTCTTTCAACTTTGCCAATCCTTCTTCTGAATAATTATTGAATATACTGAATAGATAGTTCTTGTTTAGCAATTGGTTCCAGCAACTCAGTCACTATGTGAAAATCATGTAACTGCTTATGATTTTACTTCAACTTTCCCAACTCCCTCACTTTTCTAATACTTATCCCAGTGCTAGAAGAATTAACTAGTATGTAATTTGTATTTACATCCATTAGAGAAGAGTAAGCAGACACACAATAGGCAATAGACATTGAAGGGAATGCAGTAGGCTGGCTGTTGACTTGTAGCAGCTTAGGAGGCAAATAAAAGCCTTCAATGTGAAACTGATTAGGATTTTGTCAGTTTCAGACAGCAAGGCAAGTGGGCTGGAGTGTTCTAATCGAATTATTAAGGTCACAGAGCTGATCTTGTTTACTTGTAGTTAGGACTTGGAGGGAAGTTGTGTGCATGAACAAAAGCAGTTCAGGAAATATAGCTGTGGGACTGACTGACTGTTGTGACAAACACATGACTTGGTAGAGATGCTGCCAAGGTCATAAATGCAGGTATTAGTTGCAGTTACATTTCCAACACTGTTATAACTGCAAAAGGTCACTGTTTGAGGCAGTCGCTGAATAGAGACTTGCACTTAAGAACTAAGAAGCGATAATTGGAAAACCAGATTCTAGTGGATTGTTATACTTTGATGCCACAATGTATGTAAATTATCATTCACGTACTATAAATAAGAATATTCATGCCTGAAGGTGTATTCTTAGGTTCAACTGACATTAGTTTTGCTTTGCTTTTGGGTGAAAACATTTGTGAACTCTTGAAAGCTATAGTGGAGGGAATTTAACAAACCGGCTCTCTAGAGTTCCATTCTATTGTCTTCCATATAGGATACAGTTCGTTTTTCTACCACGGAAACCTGCAATTTTGCCAATCCATGTTGCTGGAATGAAAAGTAGCGTAACTTGGTTAGAGAACGATGGTGCTTCCAAACTACTACATTAATGTATTATTAATGTATGATTCCCACTTTTACTAAATTATAAGCTGTGTATACCTGAAAGTTTGTAAGATGCTATAGATCTTTTTTTTTAAAATGCTTAAAGTAGAGTTCAATTCTGATACTTTACTAAAAACATATAATGTTTTCAAATTAATTATATTCACTTTTGGGAACAAATCCTTATTTGGCAACTATGCTATTTTGTAAAAACATCTTGGTTTAATAGGTATTATATAAATACATTGGTTAAAGCACAAGGAAAAAATAATGAAAATAAACATGTCTGTATATGGCTGATATATGTGAAAGTAAGTATATTAAAAATGTTCTGTTCTGAAGAACATTTCACAGAATTCCACAGTGTTAGTTTAC